TCCGCCATCTGCTTTTCTGACGACGGTGGCGGGGTGGGGGCGGCACGGAGTCCAGGAGGCCCCCGCGCCGGTGTCCCCGCGTCGTCCGAGCGGGCCCGGGGCTGTGCTTCCACCCGCGCCACGTCTGCGTTCCCGACCCACTTTTGCGCGTTCCCCGCCGTCACAAAACCAAAAAGAAGAAACTTCCCTTGAGTTTTGGGATCGAGCTAAATCCTACGAACCGGCCGAGAGGGACGGGCCTCAGTGTCCCCAGGGGATGGGGGCAGGAGCTCGGCTGCAGGAAGCGCCGGAGGCCCGGCAGTCAGTCTGTCTCTGGTCCGTGGGTATCCCGGGCGCCTTTCGCTCCGAGTCCGGAGCCGCCGGCAAGTGGGAGGAAATTGGAGTAAACGCAGCCTGGGGAGAAACCAGTGGGCCCTGCCTGAGCCGCCCGGCCCATTCCAACACGCCTCTTGGCGGCGGGTCCCCCACTTCATGACTTCACTCCAGTAGGGCAACCGGTCCCCAGGTTCTGGAAGTGTTCGCTGAACACCTGAGGATGAGGGGCAGAGGCTAAAAGGAAAGTGCAGTAGTAAATAGACTCTTCGAAAACGGAATTTAAAGAGCAGTTGTTTTGCTTGGTAGCAAACAGGGCATTTCCCCCTGTCTTGCTCTGTTCTCAGCAGAAAGAACCGTTTTAGGGGCCCTTTTAGATCTCAGGGGCGTAGGAGACACATTAAGCCCAAATGTGTAGTAATCTAGCTCAAATTTACAAATAAAACTTCTGGCTGATTCTTTGAGTTGAGTTGGGAAAGACTTGAATGCCAAGCCAAGTCGGGGTTGGAGCAGTGGAGGGGGACAGTCCTTGCTCCTCTGAAGAACAGTTTGGCAGGAGGAGGGTGAGGGGGGCTCCTCGGCAGCCCCCAGGCCTGGGTAAACCCTGAAGGAGACTGGAAAGCAGTTGATTTTTAAAAATCACTTAAAATTCTTCAGTTACTAGCTGCAGCAAGAATTTCATTTCAAAATGGAAAATCTGTAGCAAATAATAATAATAACCACCACCCATAGTTATTAAAAGCTCTAGCTAGGACTGCAGGGACTGATAGATAACACAAAAAATGCCATGGGAGTGCTGAGAAATAACGCTTTTTGTACATGCTTTTATCTCCTAACCAGCTTCCCAGGATTCTTGGCATAAAACCCTAATACTCCTCTCAGCCTCCTGAAAACAATGCTACTTCTTGACCTGAACTTACCTTGCCTTGTTTCTAGAATATTTATAAATCTGGTCTTGCATGTTGGAGTGGTTGACGATGAAAGGCCCTGCTTGTCTGTTTGTGTGTGCTTTCAAACACACTGTTTTCTCCTCTCGTATTAGGAGTACTCCCCCAGCTACAAGAGGCGCAGGACCGTGGAGGATTTCAACAAGTTCTGTACCTTTGTCCTAGCGTATGCTGGCTACATTCCTTATCCAAAAGAGGTAATTTTCAGAACTTTCTAGACCGTTTCCTTAAGGCCGTCCAACTAGAGACCTTATAAACCCTCCTGCTCCAGTAGCCTCACACCTGATGACCTTTAGGTTAAGTCTTTAAGTAGCGCCGTTGTTTCTGGGTGCTGTCTGAGTTGAATCTCTCCTCCTAATGATAATTATGACCCCATGTGAACAGAGTTGGCGTTCCCATTGTGTTTGCGAGGCTGTCATCTTCATAGGAGCAGATCGCCAGAAATCTGGGGAGAAATCTGTTAGAAACAGATCAGCCAGGGAAGTGGTTCCTAAAATGATCTTAGAAAATGTAAGCTTGTTTAGAGATGACTTAACAAACATTTAATGTTTTTTAGAGCTTCTTCAAATGATGTATTTACATATGCTATCTGCCAGTGCTTAATTATTGTCAGCACCAGTTGTCACCACTTGATTCTAACTCATGTTACCCCCCATGTTTGTTGGGGTAACACTGGAATACAGAGGGTTTCCAAGGCTGTGACTTTTCAGAAGCTGAGGACCAGGCCTCTGCTTTCCAGTTAGCCTTTTGAGTGATTTCCCCATCTGTGCCACTTGGGAGCTCTGGCTCTTAATGGCTGGTAGCGATTGAGTGCTTACCTTTCTTGTAACATTCTAGGAGGTAGGTGCTTTATTAATGGCTTAACCTAGTGGCACAATGGCTAAGTATTTGCCTGTTCACTTAAAGGGTGTCAGTTCAAACCCACTAGCCCCACTAGTTGCTCTGTAGGAGACAGCTCATTTCCTTACAGATTCTAGCCTTGGAAACCCTCTGGGCAAGGCTACCCTGACCTATAAGGTTGCTGAGAGTCAGAATCAATTGAGTGACAATACTTTGATTATTATTGTGATTTTGTGTGTGTGGTGGCAGAGTGTAAGCACTGATCTGCTAGTTGAAGGTTTGGCAGTTAGAACCTACCAGGTGCTCCATGGGAGAAAGATGGGGCAGTCTGTTTCCACAAAGATCAACAGCCTTGGAAACCTGGGGGTGGGGGGTGGGAGTGTCCTGCTCTGATGGATAGTGTTGCCAAAAGTTGGAATGGAATCGATGGAAATGGGTTGCTTTTGTTTTGTGGGGGCAGGGGCTTCTGTACCTCCATTTGAAAGATGAGGTAGCTGGGAGCAGAGCGGAGCGTGTGATTCAACCAGACAGTGGCTCTGGATCCACACAGCCTGGTTTCTGGCTCAGCCTCCTGGTTTTAGGACAAACAACGTGAAGAATGCCCTTCAGGGCCCAGACCCTATTTGAAACTAGCTCATCACTTAACTGAAGGGACTTTCTTGTCCTTACCAAATGACCAGGACAGTGGACCAGACTGCCATGTCATTCAGCTTCTGGGGCTCCTTCACTGTGTGCTAGGCTTGGAAGGGAAGAAGCATTTCCAGGAGACGAGATCTCAGCAGTGCTGCTGTGTAGTTTCCACTTGTTGTATTGGTGGATAATATTTATTTTAGACCAGGGGTTCTCAACCTGTGGGTCGTGACCCCCTTTTTTGGGGGGTGGTGGGGGTGGAACGACGTTTCACAGGAGTCCCCTGATTCATAACAGTAGCAAAATTACAGTTATGAAGTAGCAACGCAAATAATTTTATTGTTGGGGTCACCACAACATGAACTATATTAAAAGGGTTGTGACATTAGGAAGGTTGAGAACCACTGCGTTAGACCAAGCAGAATGTTGCCACTATTTTCAAAAAATCTGCTTGAATGGCCAGCAGAAAACTCCAAGTTTAGCTCCTGGGTTCGGGGGCAGTAATTAGCTACCTAATTCACAATATTTTTGGATGACACCGGTGTTTTTTTAAAGTGTCATGGAATTATCAGAACTAGCTTAAATGCACTTAATTAAAACACTTCTGTTGGGGTAAAGAACTAGAAGGAAAGGGGAGAGAGGTATTCAGTGATGGGTTCTGCAGCTTTTTATTAAGCACTTACTATGTTCCTGGCGATGGGGCTCAGGCTGGAAGGCTCATTGATGGATGGCAAAATCTGTCACCCCCACCCCTTTTCTCCTGGTGGTGTCAGGAAGGGGGGTGTCTCCCATTTTCCTGAAAGAATTATTGAACTACTACTACCTAGCCCTGCTCCTCAAGTACTCAGCTGAAGCCAGCTGATCTGAAAAGCTCAGGTTGGGAGGGCTCACCCCTGGGGGACCCCTGCCTAACAGGGTGGGCTGAAGGCTAAGCTTGGAGTCAGAATAACCGGCACCCCTGCCCCCTCTCTGCCCTCGCAGGAGCTGCCTTTGCGGAGCAGCCCTAGCCCTGCCAATAGCACAGCTGGCACCATTGACAGTGATGGCTGGGATGCCACGTTCCCTGATAGCACGTCTCCCGTGCCCCTGCCTGTTTCGGACCACTGCTTCAGCCACCTGCAACCCACCCTCTTACAGCGAGCCAAGCCTAGCAACTTCCTCCTGGATAGAAAGAAAACGGACAAGCTGAAGAAGAAGAAGAAGAGGAAGCGGAGGGAGAGTGACGAGCCTGTCAAGGAGGGGTACATGGGAAGCTTGCTGAAGCTGGAAACCACCGACCCCTATGGGCCGACTCCCACAAGTCCTGCTCTGCAGGGCATCCCCCAGGCCAGCAGCGAGCCCAGCTCAGGCTGGGACTCTGACACGCCCTCAAGTGGGTCCTGTGCTACAGTGTCACCCGATCAGGTTAAAGAAATAAAGACGGAAGGCAAACGGACTATCATCCGGCAGGGAAAGCAGGTGGTGTTCCGGGATGAGGACAGCACCGGCAACGATGAAGACATCATGGTGGATTCGGGTAGGTGGCCCTTGGGTGGCTTCCTGGGTGGGTGGGTAGTGGGTAGAAAGGGGCACACGTACTAGGAATGGTGGGGAATCCTGCCTTTGGCAGTGCCATGGCAGAGCGGGTCCCATCATCTCTGCAGAGAAGGGTAGGAAAAAGGGGGAGTACCAGGATATTTAGGAAGGGGCTAGTCACAGCTGGAGATAGCTGAGATGCCAGGACAAACTTCAGGAAGTAAGGAGAGGATGCTTCATAAATCAGCATCTGGTGTCATCCATTGACTGATAGGGTTTTCAGAGAGATAGTCACTGCTTGAGGGCAAGTCCAAGCAGCTCTTGTTTGTGGAGTAATAGGTCTCCGGGTGGGTGGCTTTCTTGCTGGAGAGGAGCTGGGAAGGCTGTTGTTCTTCCGTTGACTAGTTCTTGGCTTTTCAGACGACGATTCCTGGGACCTCGTCACCTGCTTCTGCATGAAGCCCTTTGCGGGCCGCCCCATGATTGAGTGTAACGAGTGCCACACCTGGATCCACTTGTCCTGTGCAAAAATCCGGAAGTCCAATGTTCCTGAAGTGTTTGTCTGCCAAAAGTGCCGGGACTCCAAGTTTGACATCCGTCGTTCCAACCGTTCCCGGATGGGTTCCCGGAAGCTGTTTCTGGACTGACTGCTGGTGCGTGGGGAAAACTGGGCTAGAAACTGGAAGGGACCGTGGGGCTCTCTAGCCTTTTTTTAGTTGAGCACAGAACACTCTACTCTGGCGGGGGCAGTCCTTTGCCATCCAGGTGCCTAAGCAAAGGACAGGTAGTTCAAAGTCTAAACTGTACATATAGCCAGGGAACAAATAAAGTCTTGGTTGGCCAAAGCTGCTGCTAGAGTGGTGGTCTCTGCAGTGGAGGTGGACTGCACACCCAGGCTCGGGGGTTTGGGTCACTGGAACATGAGGGTATGTGGTCTTGTGAACGTTTGATAGCATTGATAACAAATTCCCGCCGATTGGAACAAGTGCTCGCTGTTCTCCCTGCTCCTGCTCTGGTCGGGGCAGAGGTGTTCTGCTTCCCCAGCCTGTTAACGTGAACAGCCATATGTGTAAGTTTTTCTTGATTATGAGTCTTTTACCATAAATATCTGTACAGCAACATTCAAGGCCCTCTTCCTGGTGGCTTGCCCTCGCTATCTGCCTCAGCCACTGCTGGCTCTCAGCCTCTGGTCTTGCCTGAGGACCCTTGGGGTGGGTGGTGAGTTAGCTAGTGATTCCCAGGTTTCCTCCTGTTCGTTAGAGGGGGACAGTTACGTGGCCACTTCTCTGTGGAAAGGGGAGGGGTTGGTTGGGGGGTTTGAGGTGATCTGTGTTCATAACGCAGTTTCCTGTTTTGCACGATGTATAAAAACTGGCTTTTTGCACGATACAGCCAAAAGTGTTGGCCGAGTTCCTGCTGGGTGCCCTTCCTCTCCAGTCCGTGTCTGGGGTGCTGGCAGGGACCTGGTCAAGTTGTTTTTGAGCGTGGGGAACAGTTAAGTTCTCCCTCATCTCGTCCCCCGCTCCTCATTCCAGTGGCATAAAGGCAAGGCAATCACTGGGATTTGTGTGCCCCTCTAGAGAAGGTTGGAGGAGAGCTCCCTTCTGGGGTAGTGGTTCCTGTGCCCTTCATACAGGCTGGGCCTGCTGGTTTTGTGGGGCAAGGTTAGGACAGGGGGCTTGTTTTTTTGTTATTTTTTTGACCAGGATCTTTTTGTTTTTGGCTTGCTTTGGTGAGCAAATGATGGGATGCCATTGGCCCTCCCTCCCTCCCTCAGGAATCTTCCATTGAATGGCGAAGTTCTTTCAGTTGAACCAGGATCCTGGCCTGGGGAGACCCCTGTGTGGGCAGTTGTGGGAGACCAGGGAGCTGGCTCCTGGAGCCCCACAGGAGGGCAGTGCACCCAACCCTGGTGCTTCTGGGCTTGGGCAAGAGGGCCTTCAGCTTCCTGTGCCATCTCAGTTCAAGTACTTGTTTGCAAACTGTTTTTTGTAAATTGATGGGTGTGTTTTCATAGTGTTGTTTATTGTAAAGGCACAGAGAGGAAGAAGGTTCATTTTAGTTGTGTTTATCTGCAGCTGGGCAGGCCTGCAGGCTCCCTGCAGGGTGCTTCCCATCCCCCAGGCAGGTCTACCAGGAGACTCCTCCATACTCTCTCAAGTGCCCACGTGGTTGAAACCTAATGTGGGCTCCTGAGAGCCCAGCTTTTCTCCTAGTTTTTTTGACCCTTGTCCTGTCATCTTTAAAAAAAAAAAAGTTTGACCATCCCCACTGGGGAAAGTTCTGTTGTGGAGGAAACTGTTAAAGTTGGTTTAGAGAGAAGCTTCGTTCACTCCAGACAGCTAAGTGATGATGGAGAGGAATTTGCCAAAGATCTGCCTGGTGACATGGCCCATCCAAGGCCTTCACCACAAGAGCAACCAAAGCTCCAAAATGTTTTGTTTTAATGCCACAGTTTTAAAGTGCATTTAAGAGTTAGTGTGATTTTAGGATGGAAGTGTGGTCCATGGTGGTCATTAAGTGTATGCGCACAAGGTTCAATTCCTGGAGGGGCCTCTGGAAGACTTTTGGGTGCTCGTCTCTAGTTACATTTTTGTTTCCACCGTTTCCTTTTTCATTTAACAGATCTGCCCCTTGTGGGAGGTGTCTCGGGAGTCGGACACCTTGATTTAGAAAAAATTGTTTTTGGTTAGATTGAGCTGGGCAGCTGCAATCAGCTTCTTTATGCAAAACTGGGACAGCCCATCTAGGGTCTCCTGGTTGGTGGCGAATGAGGTGAAGGGAGGAATTGTAGCCCCAAATAAAAGTCCCCTCCCATTGGCTTTGGCCAGATGAGATGAGACACTTCCCATTACTTACATGGTTCTGTGTAATTAAGAAATGTTTATGTGTATAAAGCGAAGCTGTTTCTGTGAAACTGTATATTTTGTAAATAAAGATATTGCTACTTTGAGGTTCGTGTCTGGCTTCAAGTGTTTGTGTTATGCGCTGAAGGAGTATGGTATTTGCCCCCAACACATGTAACACATATCCCACCTCCACACCATGTCTGCGTGAGGACAAGGGGGAAGCTCATGTCAAGTTAGTGGAAAATGGAATTAAAATACCATGAAGCTTTTCCATGAGCTTTTTAAAGCCCCCGCATATACTACAATACTTTCTCCAGAAACAAGACCACAGTCTGAGTAGCAATGAAGAGTACTACAAGCTCCAGGGTGACAAGCCTGCTTTTGGAGACACTACCCTCTGAGGCTGCAAACTGGAGGGCTGTCATGTCCCTTGGTCCTTCATTTTGCCCCTTTGCTTTGGGCTCCCTGTCTTCTCACCCTTACTCAGCAGTGACCAATGCTTAAGCCTGCTTCGTGCTGAGCTGTGCGTCCTGGTGGCATGGTGTGTTGAACATTGAGCTGTAAGGTGGGCAGTTCAAATCTACCAGCAACTCCGAGGGGGCAGACTAGATAAGGCTGGCTGCTCTGATAATTTATAGATTTGATAAGCCCTATTGGAGCAGTTTCACTCATAAGGGTGGCTATGAGGCTAATTTACTGGATGGAATTTGGTGTTCATCATCCTGGCCATTACTTCCTCCAATGACAAGTGCTGATGAGTCTGTTCTGACTCAGCGATTCTGTGTACAAACAGCTTGGTCTTTTGCCGTCCTCAATCTCAGTCCTTGCTGCCTTCCAGCCCACTGTTGCTGGGGTCTGTGTTTTCACCCATTCTACCAAGCTTTGATGCCCTCTAGCGACTGATCCCTCCTCATAAAGTGAGGTGAAATCTTCGCTTCCTCACTTCTAAGGAGATTGAGAGGAGAGGAGATAGTTTACACTGGGCAGTGTGCCTTTTCCTGGTTTCCAGGTAGAAGGGTGTGAGCCTTGGGGTTCCTAAGGCTACAAGAGGGGCGGGGCAAGCTGGACTTGGGGGAACAGGTTAAATTTCGCTCTGGGCGGCTCATTTCAAGGCTCTAGCGGTTGAGCTGTAGCACCCTTTGAATTGAGGACCTGGGGCTGCCCAACTCGGGTCCTCCTGGTAGCTGGGTCTCCGTTCGGCCCGTGTCGCCGCCGCTCCTCTCAGGACCAAAGGCTAGCTGGCCTGCCCCCTAGGACAAGCCCCGCCCCGCAGGCCTGCTGGCCCCGCCCCAGCCTCTCCTCTAGGCCCCGCCCACACACGCCTCCCTTTCCCCCTGGCCCGGCCCCGCAGGCTGTTTGCTCGCCCGGGAGCGCGGGCCCACCCCTTTGCTCCCCGCAGGCGGTGTTGGCCCCGCCCCGCCCCGCGCACGAGCTCCGCCCTTCGCGCTGCTTCCGTCCCTCCCGCCGGCCGCGCCCCGCACGCCCTGGCGCCGCCATCTTTGTGAGGGGCAGCGGGGCCTGTCATTCCGCGATGCCGAAGTCTTGCGCAGCCCGGCAGTGCTGCAACCGCTACAGCAACCGCAGGAAGCAGCTCACCTTCCACCGGTGAGAGGCGGGGTATCGGGAGGCGCTCGAGGTCGGGGTCCGGGGCACCGCTGCCCGGGCACGTCTGGGCCGCCCGGGAATCCTCGGGTGGAAGAAAGGTCCGGGCCAATGCGGGTCCAGCCGGGAGGGTCACTTCTTAGCTGTTCCCTGTGCGGAGGGGTCGGTGGCCCGGGCTTCAGACCGGTGACATGGCATTAGGCTCAGGAGGAGCCTCGCCTCCGCCAGCGGTGAGATGAGGAAAAGGACGCAGAGAGGTTTAGTAACCTGCCTGCAGCCACACAGCCACCTGGAAACCCCGACCAGTCTAGGGGGTTTCCTGGAAGGGGAAGGACTTGTCTTGGGCCCTGGGCAGTGGGCCTCAAATCCTAGCACCCCCCAGGCCCTGCACCCCCAGGGATTCTAATTGTTGCCCTCTGAGTGCGAGTTGGTTTTGAACCGGTTCAGTCAGGGTTGACGCAGGCAGGGCCAAACCTGAATTTTATCTTGTGGGCCTTATGAAGATGATGGGTGGAAGTCCTGGACCGAAGAGACACCTGAGCCCTTTTAGAAGGTGGATGCAGGAAATCGGGTTACTGGAAGGACAGTGGAGAACCAGACACACTCAAAGCCCAGCCATGGGCCACCATCTTTGAGCGGGCACCATTTTGTTTCTGACTAGCAGAGAAGAGCCTGTGCTGGTGTGCAATGCCCAGTGCTGCCCTTGTGTTCCCTAAGGAGGAGGTTAAGAAGTTTCCTTGGCCCCTGCATGCTGTTCCCCAGCCGGTACACCCACGCTTTACACTTGCGTCCGTTCTGGTTCATTCAGTTGGCCAGGACTGAGTTGGAAACAATGGCTCCAAGCCCTGGTTTATTGCATGTCAGGTGCTCTCTCTCCTCCCTGGCCCCTCTCCCCAAAGACAGTCCCTCCCATTTACAGCCATGGCCTGGGACATGCAGGTGCTCAACATGCATTTGCTGAACGAAGGAATTAAGGATGGTTTGTTAGGCCTGCTTTGTACTTGGCCCTTGGCTAGGACCTCTCCATTCATGGAGGATAGGTGGGATGGAGGAATGAGAACTGGATGGCTGGCTGGGTCCGTGTGGGCAAGGGAGGTGGAAGGGACTCTGTGGGGGTCAGGAAGCTTTGGGGAGCTTGGGAGTCTGTTCTCGTACTCCATCACCCAGGAGCACGGCCCCAGCCTGGATGAATGGAGCCCTGTATGGAGAGCTTGTCCCCTGCTGTGCCTGAGGTTTTGCACAATTTCTGCAAGGGTCCAGCTGTACAGTATTTCTCTGCCCCTTTGGAGCACGGCTCCAAAAAGCTGCCTCTACTCCCTCTTCTGCCATTACCTTCTTTATTCAGAAAAGTTCACACATCCTAAGTGTACAGCCTATTGTTAACAGGGTGAGCCCACTTGTGTGATGTCCCTAGGAAAAACCCCGAGCTGTGCCCCCTGGAGCTCCTAGCCCTCCTCCTCCTCCCTAGGAACCCTAGGGCTGCCTCTAGCCGATTGAATTCGTTGTCCCTTTTTTGAACTTTACCTAACTGCAGGCACTCTGTGAGTCTGCCTGTCTCATCTTGACCACCTTAGTTTGTGAGTCAGCCTTGGTGCACATAGCGGTCTCTCTTGCTCACTGCCATCGATGTTCATAGTGACCCTATAGGACGGGGTAGAAACTGCCCCTGTGGGTTTCTGAGACTACTCTTTCCAGGGGTAAAAAGCCCTGTCTCCCAAGGAGTGGCTGGAACTGGTGTGGTTTCAGACTGCTCACCTTGCGCACTCTCACCCAATGCATAACCACTACACCACCAGGCTCCTTCACACAGCACTAAGTCACTCCTTTTGTTGCTGGATCGTGTTCCGGGGAATGCAGACTAGAACTGGTTGATAGGTTCTACAGCGGAAGGGTGTTTGGTAGCCTCTGCCTTCCTGCCTTTACAAAGCTGCGGTGGCCACCTGCTTGTGTGCACACCTGGGAGCGGAAGTCCCTCCTATTTTCTCGAGCCCATTCCAGTCAGCCTCTTGCCCCTACCAGTCACACAGACAGTCTGTGGCTCTGTCCTGGACACCAGGAGCCCTCTGCTGCCAAGTCCAGTGCACAGGCCTCACCTTGCTGACCTCTGCAGTGTTTGACACAACTGAGTACTGACCTTTGAAAACTTTCCCCTTGACGCCGAGGTTGCCACACTCTGCTGTGTCCGTTGCCACAGGTGTTCTTTCTTTCTGGAAGGTCCTCCTTTCTAATGCTGAGCGTTGGAGCACCTCACCTCTGGCCATGGGCCAAGGGCCTGTGCTCAGTGATGATCCGTGCCCATGCTCACCACCCCCCACTGCCCCTCTGCAGCCAGGCTGTGTGTCTTCACTGCTGTTGGTGCAGGGATGGCCCCTGTGTTGGCATCTCATCTGCCCATTCAACTTCAGTATTCGAACATATTAAAAGCACTTCAAATTTAATCTGCAACACACAGGAACAAGCCCTCTACCCTTCCAGCCTGGCCCTCGACAGCCGCTCCCGTCTCGATACATGAGACTCCTTCCTCTCTGTTCTTCCTTACAGCCTTTTTCACAGCTACTGAGAGCCCAGCAGCAAACTCGTCGCCTTACTAGCACCGTCCCTCCAAGTCTACCTGCTTTCCACCTGCCTCGCTGGCCCCTGGTCCGGGACACCTTCCAGCAGGCATCGTAGTCTGGCCCACGATGCCACCCTCCTTGAGACCCACACCAGCTGCCCCCACCCCTCCCTCCCAGGCCCCTAGTCCTAGCCTCGAGCTCCCTCTGGTGGCTCCCGCTCATGCCAGCCATGCACTCGGTGCTTCGCCCTTGGTCTCCTCCTCACAGTGGCCTTCCCAACCACCTGGTGCTTCCTGGCAGTAACCACCATCTGACACCACCTCTGGCAGGGCTTCGTTTTTTCTCTCACATCCCAAGCACCAAGCTCAGGGCCTACCCGACACAGCTGGCTTTTGAGTGGGTGAAGGCCCACCTATAAACATTGCCTTGGGAGCACAGTTCCCTTGGGCTCTTGGCCACGTCCCCAGCCACAGATTTTCTTCTAGGATTCTCTACAGGGTGGTAACACAAAGCTCTGGAATTGAGGTCACTGCACTGTGCCCAGGCAGGAGCCCTGACACAGCGGGCGACTCTTCTGGCTGCTGACCACAGGGGCCTGTCCAAGAGGGCCGCTGTGAATCGGCACTGACTCGCTGGCGGTGAGTTGTAATACAACACGTTCAGTGGTGCCAACACTCCGCCCCTACCCTCCGCCCCCAGGTTCCCGTTCAGCCGCCCAGAGCTGTTGAAGGAATGGGTGCTGAACATCGGCCGGGGCAACTTCAAGCCCAAGCAGCACACTGTCATCTGCTCGGAGCACTTTCGGCCCGAGTGCTTCAGCGCCTTTGGGAACCGAAAGAACCTGAAGCACAACGCCGTGCCCACAGTGTTTGCCTTCCGGGAGCCCACGCAGGTAGGACCCCCAGGGCTGTGCTGCTCTCGGAGCCCCATGGGGTGGATTCAGCCAGCATTGGGGCCCAGGGGGAGATGGTGGGGAGGTGGGAGTGTGTGGCATTTTCTGGACAAGCAAAGGCCAAGAACTATAGTGAGAGCCGTATTGGCCCAGCTCTGTGACGTTGAGCCTGACCGGTGGCCCAGACATTTGTTTTAAGGAAAGTTATAATAAAGCTACTTTTAAAATGAATCATGTTACCAAGGGCTCAAATAGAAAGTAAATGTTTAGAAAATGATCATAGCAACCTATGTTCAGATAGGCTTGATACAATTGATGTATGGAATGTTCTAAGAACTATAGAGCCCCCAATAAAATGATGGGGAATAAAAGATTTAAGAGGGCATAATCATGGGGCAGATCATGAATATATAGGCATTATCTCCCATTTATTAATCTCGACCAAGTAAACAAATCAGTGTAAAGTTTTTTAAAAACCATGTTAAATTTCAGTCTATGTATCTCCATAGCTAGATTGATAGATACAGATATGTAAATTACACATCACCACCCACTACTGCTGAAGAAGCTGACTGGGGAATAGACCAAGAGCTTATTCCTTGATGCATTTTTTCCTAGGGCCTCCGAGGGCCCGAGACTGCACAGTGCAGTCAGCTCTATAGCAAGGAGGCTGGGCTGAAACCTAGCAGCCTTTATGAGGATGACAGAAGACCAGGGCAGGGTTTTGTTCTATTGTCTGGAGCGTTGGTATGAGTTAGAAGAGGCTCAATGGTCCCTAACACCACCATCTATTCACTGATGGGCAGTGAAACATATGCAGGCAATGGATGGGTATCTCAAGCGGATGGGTATTTGAAAAGGCCATGTTGGGGAGTGCGTGCTACAGCACAATAGCACAACCCTGGAACCAGTTCATTCGAGATGCCTTAGAAAGCACTGCAGACCAGACACTTACAGGAGATCCCCAAAGAGAAGCTGACACATACCGCCCCCAAAATGCAACTACAAGAGTCGGCGTTGAGGCTGATCAAGTGAAGGAAAATGTTGTAGCATCTTCATGAAAAGAGTCAAGAAGTCAATTTAAAGACGGGCCTAGATCTCTCCCAGCCACTCAGCGCAGTGACAGAAGGTAAGAGACGCTGTTGGAAATTTCGAAAACCCAACAGAACAAACACCGATGACCACGTTCACTGTTGCAGACACATGAGAAAGAAAGAAGAGCCTCGGACGGAAGTGCTCCAGGAGTGGTGAGGGCCAGAGATGGGTTCCGCGGCATCACGTGCAGCCCCACCATTGGCACGCTGGACTCTTCCATGAGCAGAGGGTGAGAGTGTATGCAGTTCTTTCCGATACAGTCTCCTTCCGGAGCCGTGTGGACGTACCTCACGAAGAATGCCTGAGGCACCCCAGCACTGAGGGCAGACTTATCCCATGATCTCCAGCAAACTTCATGGAGAAGGCCAACCCTTTCAGGCTTGCGTGAGAACCACGTTTACAGATTTAAGAAGACACCTTTGACTTACGTAGGCACGTATGGTCCCATAATGGAAGGTAAACTATGGTCCGTATTTCTCAATGTTGAAAGTGCTTTCTGCCTGGTCCTCACTTGAATGATCATAAACTACACAACAGAACAATTCGTGCTTTGCCCCTAAAGAGACTCATGGTACAACAGTGATTCAAACGGTTGGATTTGCCAGGTGAGATGCAACTCTCGGTTTCTTCTTGTCAGGAGCAAGAAGACTGAAGAAAATCTACTCAAGGAACAGTTAGTCCAGAGGAACCATGGGAAACATGCTTCCACTCCCTGGAGACCAGAGTGAGATGGTATCCGACTCCCAGTACCCACTACTCCGATACTCTGCTAAGGATCACACTAGAAAGTCCTAGACCAGTGGTTCCCAATCTTCCTCATGCCACGACCCTTTTTCTTTATACAGCTCCTCATGTGGTGCTGACCCCCCAACCGTAAAATTATTTTCCTTGCTACTTCATCACTATCATTTTGCTACTGTTATGAATCGGGCGACCCCTGTGAAAGAAAGGGTCATTCAACCCCCAGTGGGGTTGCGACACACAGGTTGAGAATCGGTGTCCTAGACAGAAAAGAGGGGGGAGAACAAAAGTAGAACAAATTTAAAAATAATAAAAAAGGCCAGACCTACTAGTCCCCAGGAATAGTGAAGCCTCTCGACTATGGCCCTTAGACATTCTTCAAGCCTAGAACTGAACCCACCCCCAAGGATCCACTCCCCCCCAACAATAGGCCTCTAAAGAGGATAACAGTACCAGGGAGGATTATACTCAATGCAATCAGCCATCCAGACCAAAAGAACAGCCATTTGACCCAAAAATATAGTTCAGAAGACAGGAAGCGATAACAGAGAACAAATGGGAACTGGGAGCCCAGGGAGGAAGTGGGGAGTGGGTTACACTGAGGAGCCACAGCACTAAATCTCTACAAATGATAGAATGGAAAACTGATATACATGCCCTGTCGATTTACCCCAAACTGCAATAAAACAGCAGCTCCCGGACCCCTCCGAAATACCCTAGTTGAGCCAGTGACCCAAGAAACAGGTGAGTTGAAAGTCTCAGCCTTGTTTCCCCCCCCCCAGCGGGTGGGGGCGGGTGTTTGGAAGCTCGTAGCACAGAAAATAAACAAGCCGATTTTCTTAACAGACAACCAAGATTCGATTCATTGTCCTTAGGTTTGGAAGTGGGTATTGTTTGGCAGCTTGATTGTGACAAAATCCCCTAAGAATTTTAAGAGCCAAGACTAGAAGGAAATGTTTTTTAGTCTTGATATTATTATTTTAATTTTTTGGAAATTTTTTTTTTAAAGAACATGTTAGAGGTGAAAGGTCTATCAAAAATAAAATACAGAAACGTGTTGTAATGTTTGCTTTCTGATCATTCCGTTTGCTTTTATGATATCTTTTCATTTGGTCTTTTATAATCATAGCATGTATTCTGAAACATGCATCAAAACTGAAGTATGAATCACTTAAAGCAAAGCTGACGAAAGCCCCGTTTTGGTTGTAGCGGATCAACAGCATTTCACCGCTGTCAAGAGGAGACACTGACTCATGGTCTTTGTGGTAGATGTGGAATATTCTTTTGGCAGAAAATGTGGTAGATAGTAAAAATCTCAGCATCTTGCAGCTACTAAAAATTTTATAATCCCGTTCATTTGCTAAAATGGCAGATGCTGCCTATTTGTCCAACTGCTACTATTGTAGTTGTATTTAAAAAGAAGTTAGAGCTAGCGGAGGCACACATGTATGAGGAGGTTGCTGAAAGTTCATGGAAACATGTTGTGGGGTGAAGGGGGCCCCAACACA